CAGTTCAGCTCACAATTCAAACAATTGCACAAATGCTTTCCCTGGAGACAACCATCGTGCTTTCATCCGCAGAAGTGCCTAATAACAATTCCTGTTTTGTCACACAGGATAAGATGTGCTATTAAGAGTCAATATATAGTGAATTAAATAAATGTTACTGCTTCCCCAATGACTCTCTTGAGGGACATTGGCCGTGTCTTACTGTGAGGGCATGGCAGCGAAGACTACGATGACTTCTGGTTCGGTTTGGGGCCTCTGCTCTGTTTCCTGCTCAGGTGACTGCAGGTTAACTACCCCTGCTTTTGCATCATCTATGTATGAGATGCCACCCCAGTGAAGAGGACCAATGATGCCTAGTGTCACCGTGAAAAGAGTGTGGGCCTGGCAGGCAGGCTTCCTGGAGGAGCTTGTTGCCTGAACCATTAGGAGTTGCCCGGGTGGGGAGAAGAGGAAGGAGGGCATTCCGGGCATAGGCACACAGGCTGGGACGTGTCAGCTGTGTTCAAGGAGCAGTGCAGAGGCAGGAACAAGGGGGTCTGCTCTCTACTCTGGAGTGTATATTATGTACTAGGCATGGGCTAAGCATTTTACTCTTTTACAAAAAAATCCTCATCCAAGGATATGTTTTATTGATTTTAGAGAGAGAGGAAGTGGGGGGGGGAGAAACATTGATATAGAGAGAACATTGATCAGTGCCACTCATACACACCCCAACTGGGAATCGAACCTACAACATTGGTACGTGCCCTGACTGGGAGTCGAACCCAAAACTTTTTGGTGCACGGGATGACGCTCCAACCAACTGAGACACCTGAACAGGGCACATTTTACTCTTTTAAAAATATATATGGTGGTAACAAATAACAGGTGCTGATGAAGATGTATAGAAAATGGAATCATCATGCACTGTTGGTGAGATTGTAAATTAGTGCAGCCACTGTGGAAAGCAGTATGGGAGATTCCTTAAAACACTAAAAATAGAACCACCATGTGATCCAGCGATTCCACTTCTGGATGTATCTGAAGAAAACAGAAACATTAATTCAAAAAGATATATGCACCTCTGTGTGTATTGCGACATCACTTGTAATAGACAAGATATGAAAGTACTCTAAGTTTCCATGAATAGATGAATGAGTAAAGAAAATGTGGTACATATATGCAATGGAATATTATTCAGAAATAAAAAATAACGAAATCTTGACATTTGTGACAACATGGATGGATGTAGAGGGTATTATACTAAGTGAAATAAGTCAGAGAGAAAGACAAATACTGTATAATCTCATTCATATGTGGAATCTAAAAAAAACAAATTAAGAAATAAAACAAAAACAGACTCATAGAGAACAAATTGATGATTGGCAAAGGTTGGGAGAGAGGAGATAGGGGTATAGAAATAAAGAAAAAACAAAAATAAAGTGTTGGGTAGTTAACGAAAAGCTCATTGTACTTAGTGGATAAAATGGGATAATGAAAAATATCAAAGTGGTTACAAAGTTATTTGTCAGTTCACATTCAAGCATAAGAATAAAAATTAAACTGAAAAAATGTTACTTACTAAAAATTACCTTAAAAAAGTAAAAAATAAAACTCTAAAAAATATATTGTGGTACAAGGCAAAACATAATATGAAACTTACATTTTCACCATTTTTAAGTGTACAGTTAAGTGGCATCATGTATATACCCCATCCATCACCACCACCCATCAGTCCCAAGAACTTTCATTTTGTAAAACTCACACTCGGAACCATTAAGCAATAACGCCCCACCTCCTTTCGAAGGCCGCAGGGAGGCCCCGCCCAGCGGACCGCCTCACCCGGCCACGGCCAGACCGGTGCTTTGGCAGAACAAGGGAGCGGGTGAGGGGAGGTGCCTCGGCCCGTGCTCTGTAACGACAGGTGGCTGCTACGGTAAAAGCAGTGGTAAGGAGACACCCAGGGAAAAGTTTTGAACTGGAAGGTGACATGGGCAGACATTTTAGGGACTTCACTTTATGGAAGGTGGTATAGAAGGGGGTGAGAACAGAGGCAGCTATTGACAGTGAGGAGACAGGCGCCAAATTCTGGGAGAAGGGATGAAGGTTTGGCCCCTGTGGGAAGGGAGCCATGGGGATGTGGAGGACGAGGTTGCTGGGAAAACTTACTGGCACAGCTCAGCTGCTGGAAGTCTGAACCCTCCTGGCCCTGAGCGCTGGGTCCTGAATCTCCCAGCTAGGGCTTTGTAAGGGTCCTTCCTGGGACTGACAACCTGTGCCAAATGAAAATCAGGGCTCCATGGCCAAACATTTTTAAGAATTTCAAAATAATGACACTGGAGCATTAAACCAAGAGTGGAATTCTTAGTTTCAAGCCACCAGATTTAGAAGGGGGAAAAAAAAAAAAAGAGGACTCCCAGTTAAAGTTGAATTTCAGATAAACAACAGGTAATGTTTTAGTATAAATGCGTCTGGTGTAGTATTTGCAGTACAAAAATATTTTGTTGTGTGCACAAATAAGGGGCCACATAGTAAAGCTGACAAGCTCAGGGGCGGCCTGCACGGCAGGCTTACAAACTCGGAGACACAGTAACCACATAGGAGGGTCTGAAATGAAAACTCCTTAACTAAAAGCCAGTCACGGCAGGTGGTCATGCCCTAGGCTGGTATCTTCCTTGACAAAGGTCAGTCTTTACCATCACTGAGTCTTTTTGCATCTGTGGTAACATACCTTTGGAATGTCAGAACAAATACCATTTTTCCAGACCTTTCAGGGCTGATTCTCCCACCAGAAAAAGAGCCCACAGAACCCCTCATTGTTGTCTTGTTCCCCGCATATCACCTTGATGTGCTGTAAATGTTACTTGTTAACTATTCTACACCCACCAATGTAAAAGCATGTGTCTCTCCGTTTTACTCTTTATCCAATCTCAGAGATTTCCCCATTGTTTTCTCCTGCCTCCCTAATCTATCACAAATGGATTTCATATAGACATTTCTGTCTTCCCCTTTGATTCTGATGTATAATAGGTAAAACTGCCATTTCCTCGATCCGTTGAGATTTTTCTCCCTGGCAACTGTTGTCAGTTTGGCTCAGATAAACTCATACAGATTCTTTGGGGTTTTGGATGATTCTTAGGTCGACAGTTGTTTGTCTGGAATTCAGCTTTAACTGGGACCCTGGATTTTAGCTGTCAGTCTTACCCAATGGGTCTTGCCGTTCTTCCATTACGTGGGACTCCTGGGAGAAGGGCTCCCAAACTTCAGCCTGCATCAGAATCACGTGGAGACCTTGTTAAAACAGATTGTTGGGCCCACCCCTTCTGTTTCTGATTAATAGGTCTGGAGGTGGTGGTACCCAAGAATTCTTAGTTCTAACAAGTTCCAAGGTGATACTGATGCTGTTGGTCCTGGCGACACATTCCGAGAACCACTGTTCCAGGGGCCATTGCCCTAGAGAAGCCGAGAAATAGGACACAGAAAAGCGCAGTGACTCAAATTTACCACCAGATGGCAGAAGCGCTCACTAGTCAGGCCTCGGCTGCGCTCACAATCTTAGCTTAAGCCTTGGCTGAGTGTTTGCTCTGTGCCTGAACATGTCCAGGGCCCTGGCTGCAACCAAAACATGGGTCAGGCTCAGTGCCTGCCCTTGAGGAACTCAGGGTCTGGTGAGTGAAACTAAGGTGTTAGCTGGCAATTGCAATTGGTACTGAAGTGGTGGGAAGCACAGAGAGGGGTGGGGTGGGGTGGGGAAGCTGTGGGAGCCCAGAAGAAACTGGGGGTGGTAGGCAGGCTTCCTGGAGGAGCTTGTTGCTTGAACCATCAGCAGGAGTCGCCCGGGTGGGGAGAAGAGGAAGGAGAGCATTCCAGGCATAGGCACACAGGCTGGGACGTGTCAGCTGTGTTCAAGGAGCAGTGCAGAGGCAGGAACAAGAATTGCTGGGGGAGTACCGGCAAGGCTGGCAGGGGCTTGGCTGGATCCTGAGGGTCTCAGGGAACCCAGGAGGGCTTTCACTAGATGGTGTGTTAGAATGATCCCCTGGCAACTGTGAGGAGGAGAGACCAGAGGCAGGGAGGCTAGTGAGGAGGCTGGTGCAATGGTCCAGGAAGAGGTGACCAGAGGGAGCAAGAATGGCAACAGTGCCTTATTTTTTCATCCATCCATTCACTGCACACTTTACTAAACAAATTGGGAAGCCAGGGCTCTCTGAGCTGAGCCCGGGGCTGGATGCTGGGACTTGGTGGTAATCAAAACAGACCCGTTCCTGGCCTTCTCTGAGAGTTTACGTTCTAACAGCAAAGGCCAGCAACCAATGGCACAGTGGGCCAGCCAGTGACAGCTAAGGGGCCAGTACAAGGGATGCGAAGGAAGACAAATGGCAGGGTCTGGGCAGTGGTGGGGGGTGGGAGGCATCTCCCAGGAGAGCCCCTGACCTGGGCACCCCGACCTAGTGAGCACAGAAGCCTCATTCACCCAGACCCCGGTGCCCTCCCCACCGCAGCCCAGAGCTAACAATATGGCCTTTGAAGGCTGCTGCCACTGCTCGGGGTCCAACCTTTCCTGCCCCCACTTACCCTCAGGCACACAATCCTGGCCTTCAGCGGGGAAGAAAGAGCAGGATTATACGCAGGTACCAGGAGCTGGGCCCACTCTTCCACCAGAGTCAGTCTGCTCCCAGCTCAGCGGGCACCTTCTTCAAATATCCAGGACTCTTATTCTAAGCATCTGAAGGGCCAGCCAGCTAGAAGCAGAGGGATGGAGGAGAGGACCTGAAGTGCCAAGGGGATGTTCTAGAAGGGTTGTTCTGGACGCCTGGGGTCCATAGAGCACCACACTTATCTTCAGAGGAGGGGTTGATCCCGTGCATGAAGTTGATTAAAATCAAGCTAACTGTAGCATGACTCTCCAGAAGCGTGGCCGCCTTGTTTCTTTCCAAGAACACGCTCAGTTCATTCTAGCCTTGGGGCCTTTGCATATGCAGTCCCCCCCCCCCCGCTTGGGGTGCTCACTCCACTTCAAGGCCTCCCCAGGGTTGGCTTCTGTGGGCTCTATTCCTAAGAGTAAAACCAAGGAACAGATTCTTGAAGAATTTAGCAAAGTAACAGAGGGTCTTACAGACGTCATTTTGTACCACCAACCAGACAACAAGAAAAAAAACAGAGGTTTTTGCTTTCTTGAATATGAAGATCATAAAACAGCTGCTCAGGCAAGGTGTAGGTTAATGAGTGGTAAAGTCAAGGTCTGGGGAAGTGTTGGAACTGTTGAATGGGCTGATCCTATAGAAGATCCTGATCCTGAGGTTATGGCAAAGGTAAAAGTGCTGTTTGTACGCAATCTTGCCAATACTGTAACAGAAGAGATTTTAGAAAAGGCGTTTAGTCAGTTTGGGAAACTGGAACGAGTGAAGAAACTAAAAGATTATGCTTTCATTCATGTTGATGAACGAGATGGTGCTGTTAAGGCTATGGAAGAAATGAATGGCAAGGACTTGGAGGGAGAAAATATTGAAATTGTTTTTGCTAAGCCACCAGACCAGAAAAGGAAAGAAAGAAAAGCTCAGAGGCAAGCAGCAAAGAATCAAATGTATGATGATTACTACTATTATGGTCCACCTCATATGCCACCTCCAACAAGAGGTCGAGGGCGTGGAGGTAGAGGTGGTTATGGATTATTATGGATATGAAGATTATTATGGATATGAAGATTATTATTATTATTATGGCTATGATTACCATAGCTATCGTGGTGGATATGAAGATCCATACTATGGTTACGAAGATTTTCAAATTGGAGCTAGAGGAAGGGGTGGTAGAGGAGCAAGGGGTGCTGCTCCATCCAGAGGTCGTGGGGCTGCTCCACCCCGCGGTAGAGCCGGTTATTCGCAGAGAGGAGGTCCTGGATCAGCAAGAGGCGTTCGTGGTACGAGAGGAGGTGCCCAACAACAAAGAGGCCGTGGGCAGGGAAAAGGGGTCGAGGCCGGTCCTGACCTGTTACAATGAAGACTGACTTGCTATGTGGGATTACACCAGAAGCTTGCAGTGGAGTAATGGTAAGGAAATCAAGCCACCTTAAATATCTCAGCTGTGTAGGAGCATATTCTATTGCAGAAGACCTTCCTGTGAAGATCATGGAATCAGATACAGGACATTAAACTAATACTTGGACTTTGATATGAATTTCTTTAACAATTTTCTCTGCAGTGCAAGTTATTAAACTAAAGCTATTCTATTTTCCAAATGTGTTCCGACAGAAATTCTTCATAACTTCTAGCATGGTATCTTAATAAAGAATAAAGTTCTTCTCTTTAAAAAAAGAATAGGTAGGAAGAATAATGGCCCCCAAAGATGTCTGTGTGCTAATCCCTGGATATATTAACTTATGTGGTAAGGGGGACTGTGCAGATGTAAGTAAAATGCAGGTCTTGAGATAGGGAGATTACTTTGGTGGCCCAGTGTAGTCTCCATGGTCCTTACAACAGGGAGTCGGGGAGGGGATTCCAAGGAAGAGGAAGAGAAGTGATGACAGAAGCAGAAGTCAAAGAGATGGGGAGGTAGGAAGATGCTACCTGCTCGCTTCACGGACAGAGGAAGGGGCCACGAATCACGGAATGCAGGCACCTCTGGGAGCTGGAAACGGCAAGGAAACAGATTTGCCCCTAGAACTTCCAGAAGGAATGCAGCCCTGCTGACCCATTTTCATCTTCTGACATCTGAAACTAGAAGAGACTACACTTCTATTGTTTTAAGCCACTAAGTTTATGGTAATTTGTTACAGCAGCAATAGGAAACATAGCTTCTTATCATTCAGGTCTCAGGCTACCCTGTGTGAAGAAGCAGTTGCTACCACCACCTCCAACCACCTGTTTGTGTTTCTTCGTGGCCCTTAATCATCATCTGAAATTGTCATATTTATTTCTGAGTTTATAGCCTGTCTCCCCTGCCCCCCATGTGAGGCTCCTTGAGGGCAAAGGCCTTATTGTGTCCACTCTTGTATCTCTGCCCCTAGAACAGTGCCTGGTACATAAAGGGCTCTCAATAAGTATTTGCCACATAAAATCAAGAATGAAGGAATAAATGAAAGACTTACTATGATCCCTTTGTGTGCACACGGAGGGCATGGGGAGGGAGAAGCTTTGGCCGGCTGGTGGGAGTGGGGGCGCCCCCAGGCTGCGACATGCAGAAGGGGTCTCAGCAGCTTAGAGAATGGAGGAGAGGCATGGGGGGAGGGGCAAGGGGAGTGTGCAACTGCCCGTGGGACCTGGGGTGACACCCAGCACAGAATGTGTGCATGCACTTTCCAGTTTACAATGTCAACCTTATTCAACCTTAGAACTTTTTTTTTCCTGGCACTCAGCCCACCCTTGCCTGTCTTCCAGGGCTGGAACCACGTGTCAGGGAGCTCGAGGAAGCTGCCCAGGTCCCTGGCCCTCAGCCTATTCTGATCCCTTTAGATTCCAAACTGCATCCTGGGACCTGGCCCCCACTGGTCCAGCTCCCTGGTCTTCACTGCCCTAACGCTGGGGCCTGGGCAGGGTTAACAAAGAACCGATTTGTAGGCGGTGCCCAAGAGCTGGGCCACTCTGGGTGCTGGGCTTCAGTGACGCCAGTGTGAGCCTCCTGATGCCCTTGGGTACCGGGCCACAGTGGACAGAACCCCAGACCCCAGGCAGGGAGGCCTGGCTTCAAAATCCAGGCTCTGACATTCCCAGGCTGTTTGAGGCTCATTTTCCTCATTGGCAAATTGGAAACATAAATGCCTACCTAGCAGCAGGTAGTTGAACGCGAGAACTCCTGGCACACAGAGGGCATCAATAAATGCTAGTTTCCTTTCTCTTATGCCTGGTGTGGGTGCCTGGATTGTTGGCTTTGCCCCTGGTGACTCCCTTCTAGCTCCAGGCCCCAACTTTTGAGTTTTTTCCCCCACAACCCTCTGTCTCAGCTAGAGAGATGGGGAAACGGAGGCTCAGAGGGATCAGAGACTTGCCCGAAGTCATACAGTCTGAATACAGACCGGAACCCAGGACTTGACTCAGCCTGGGCTCTGCAGATGCCTGGCTCCTCCTTTCCTGTTCGTTTCCCTTCCTGCCTTGAAAATGCTGAGCCTGAGAGGGGCCACTCAGCTGGGGGGCCCCCTCCCCCCCACTCATGCTCTCACACACATGCACACACACAGGCACAGAGCTGAGGACTCCGGGCACTTCCATGAAAGGCTGGTTTCCCTCCCGAGTCAGAGCAGACTGAGAGCAGAGGGCCTTGGGGCCTGGCTGGGCTGCAGTCCCAGAGCTCCAGCCTGCCCTAAGAGCGGTTCCCCCCTCCCTACTGGAACCTCTGGGCAGAGGCCAGCACAGCTGCATCCCCTCAGCAGGGCCTGCAACGATAGGCCCATGTTGCATCAGCTCGGCCTGTCTCTGCCCGCCAGCCAATGGGGCCTGGCCTAGTGTACAGATCCCGGCTCTGACCCACCCCACTGGCCACGGAATCTCCACGCGGCAGCCGGGTGCTCCCTCAGCATTCCCAGCCAAGGAGGCTGGACAGAGGGGCCAGCGCTCCACGGCATCCAGCATGGCCTTCCTCCCTCTTCCCTTGCCCCAACGGTGGCCCTTCCAGCTCTACCTTGATTCTGCTTCCTGGAGGTAGCAAAGGTGCCCCGCTGCCCCAGCCTCTGTTCTTCTCACCCTTTGTATCTGTGCTCATCCACCTACCATCCCACGGCATCCATTGTTTCCTGTGCCACGACTCCCAAATTGTCCTCTCCAGTGTAGCCTCCTCTCCCTAGTGCCACACTCATGGATGCTACAGCCTCCCGGAGGTCTCCAATCTATAGACAATAGGGCTCACCATCTTCCCTCAGAACCTCCATCTCCATCTCAACCATTTGTCTCACGCTCACCCAGGCTGGCCACCGGAGCCCTCCTTCCTCCTTCACCCTGGTCCTCTCCAGCCCCATGGCCCCTGCCCAGGCCCAAGCACTAGCATCTCACTCTGAGCTCTTGTGGCATCCTCCCCTCTGACCTCCCTCCGTCACTCTCCATTCAACAGGCAGAGAACTCCTTGGAAAGCATCAGTGCGTCCTCATCGCTTCCCCTCTAACTCGCCATCAGGAGGGAGCTCCGAGCTTCTGGCCCTCAGGCTTCTACCAGCGGCCCTGCCGTCTTCTGTAGCTGCGCGGGCTCCTGCCCCCTTGCCTGGACTCTCGCCCGCCTGCCGGCCCACCTGCCTGCCTTGCCTGCTTTCCAAGAAATCCCATCAGGATGTAGCTCATTTTAGTCTGAGGCCTAAAGCCCCAGGCCTACGGCAGAGAGAGCCAGGCCTGGCCAGAGGGGCTGCGGCGCCAGCTGCTCGTCTCTCCCAGAGCTGCAGTGAGGGGCCTGGGCCCCAGGTCCCCAGCGCCCTCTCCGATCTCCATCCCCCCCCTCCCCGCACTGGATGTTTCTTATTTATTCAGTTTACTGGTTTAAAAAACGGTTTATAAAGGTAAATGTGCTATTGAAAAAATTCAGAGAAGCAGGGAGGAGAAAATATAGGTAATGTGTATTTCCATCTCCCAAATTAAACGGTTTAAGAATGTTTCCTTCTGTACTTACCTGGCAGGGGGCACGCCTTGATCACAAAGGTAGTTTTCCCCAGGCGGGGCTCACCTATTGCCCTGTGGATGTGCTGACCCCTGGAGTTTCCCCAAATGTGGGGAACTTGGCTGCCTGATTTGCGGTACTGGGGGCCTGTGTTCATTCTCTCCCCTAAGCAATAAATAAAAGAAAAACAAGAGCCCTGACCAGTGTGGCTCAGTTGGTTGGGCGTTGTCCTGTAGAGAGAAAGGTGGCCGGTTAGATTCCCTGTCAGGGCACACGCCTGGGTGGGGGGGTTGGTCCCCTGGTCCCCTGGTCCCCTGGTCGGGGCACGTATGAACCTCCCCATGTTTCTCTCTCACATCAAGGTTTCTGTCCCTCTCTTTCTCCCTCTCTTCCCTTCTCTAAAAATAAATAAGTGAAATGTTTTAATAAGAAGAAAAAAAGAATATTTTCTTCTGAACTTTTTCTGTGAGCGTTACATCTATCTATTATTGATACACATTCACTGGGGGGACAAAACACCTCCAAAAAGCAGAAATGCTTTTCAAATCAAGTGGTGTGGATGAAAAAAAGGAGTTGTGTGCAAAGTAACCTCCGAGTGATCTGATCATAAATCCTAAATGGGATTTATAATACATAACTCCTTTAACGAAAGTTTTATCTTTGCTTTAAGCAAACTCTGTCCATTGTTTCTATGCATCTAGGGTTAACACACCTTTGAAGGGAGCCATAACCACCCCCACAATCTTAGCTACCCTGTAGTGCAACCCCTGCCTTGCTTTCCCCCACCTCCGTGTAATCTTCCTTATGTTCCCTCCTTAATTTCAAATGCATAAAAGAAGCTGCAAAACTGTTATTCTTTGGAGCATTTGAGATCTTGCTCCATGGCATATGTCGCCAGCTTGGCACAAATCCATAAAAATTCTCTATAGATATGGACATTTCTTGCCTCCGCAGTGGAAATCACCTAATAACAAGAGCTGACTGATGAAATGCAAACACGCGTCCACACATCTGTGCCTGTGCCTCTGTACGGAGAGATTTCATAAACATGCTGTTTTACAAGCTACTGTATTTTCAGTCCATCGAGCTCTCTTTCTCTGCTCAAGGATTAAATGGCTTCCCCCTTTACGATCGCTGCCAACAGTCCGTCCCTTCCTGACATGGTCTCCAATTTTTGGCCCTATCAACAAGGCTATAAAGAACATCCTTGTATAGGGACCTGTGCTCATATTTTCAAAAATCACTTCCTTAGGCTAAATTCCAAAACTCTGATTTTTTTTTTTTTTTTTTTTTTTTTTTGCAAAAGAACACAAATTGTTTTAAATTTAAAACAGGTGTGAATGGGGAATGCCTAGTCCAAAAATTCTTAAGGGGCGGAAGCTAAGTCTCACTCCTATCCCTCTCCTCCCATCCAGGCCTTCCTGCAGGCAAGGAATGTCCCCAGTTCTCGCCCACCTGCAGGGACCAGTTGCGCAGACGCAGCAGGGGCGGCACAGCCTGTTCCCTCTGTGGTTCTGCTCCGAGGTCCTGTCAATATCAGGACCTAAAGAACTTTCCTCATTTTTTGTTCCCCTCCTCCCCGCCCCGGCTCCTTGGCATTCCCACACCCTACCAATGGACAGTTAGGTTGTTTCCAATTTTTGCTATTACAATGTTGCAGAGAATTACTCAGTAACACATTTTTAATATTATTTATTTTGCGACATACAATGTTACATTAGTTTCAGGCGTACAACATAGTGAGTAAACATTTATATAACTTAGGGAAGTGATCACCCACCTGATACCACACAGTCATTACAATATTTTTGACTGTACTCTCTATGCTGTACTTTACATTCCCATGACTACTTTGTAACCACCAATTTGTACTTGTTAATCCCTTTCCCTTTTTCAAACATCCCCCCCAATGCCCCTCCCAGCTGACAATCATCAAAATGCTCTCTGTACGTATGAGTTTGTTTCTGTTTTACTTGTTTATTTTGTTTTTTAGATTCCATATGTAAGTGAAATCATATGGTATTTGTCTTTCTCTGTCTGAATTATTTCATTTAGCATAATACCCTTTAGGTCCATCCATTTTGTCACGAAAGGCAAGATTTCATTCTTTTTTATGATCAAGTAATATTGCATTTTATATATGTACCCACTTTTTTATCCACTCATCTATTGATGGGCGCTTGGGTTCTTCTATATCTCAGCCATTATAAATAACACTGCAATAAACATAGAGGTGCATATGTCTTTTCGAATTAATGTTTTGGATTTCTTTGGATAGATGCCCAGAAGTGGAATTGCTGGGTCATAAAGCTGTTCTATTTTTAATTTTTGAGAACCCTCTGTACTTTCCACAGTGGCCGCATCAGTCCGCATTCCCACCAACAATGCAGGAGGGTTTCCTTTTTGCCACATCCTCACCCCTATCTGTCATTTGTTGATATACTGTTGATAACCATTCTGACAGGTGTGAGGTGATATCTCTTTGTGGTTCTAATTTGTATTCCTCTATTGATTACTGACATTGGGTATTTTTTTCACATGTCCACTGACTGTCTGTATGTCCTCTATGGAAAGGTGTCTATTCAGGTCCTCTGCCAATTTTTTCTAATAGGATTTTTGTTGTTGTTTTTTGTTTGTTTGTTTTGGTGTTGACTTGTATGAGTACTTTATAAATTTTGGATTTTAATCCCTTATCAGATGTTTCACTTGCAAATAATTTCTTGCATTCAGTAAGTTGTCTTTTTGTTTTGTTGATGGTTTCCTTTGCTGTGCTAGAACTTTTTAGTTCGATGTAGTTCCATTTGTTTATTTTTCTTTTGTTGTCCTTGCCCAAGGAGATATATTAGAAAAAATGTTACTAAGAGAAATGTCAGGCAGTTTACTGCCTATGTTTTCTTCTAGGAATTCTATGGTTTCAAGTTTTACACTTAAATCTTTAATCCATTTTGAGTTTATGCTTTTATATCGTGTTTATCCTTATTTAAGAAGATGGTCTAGTTTTATTGTTTTACATGTATCTGTCCAATTTTCCCAACACCATTTATCAAATAGATTGTCTTTACCCCATTGTATATTTTTGCCTCCTTTGTCATATATCAATTGACCGTGTAGGTGTGGGTTTATTTCTGGGCTCTGTTCCATTGATCTATGTGACCGTTTTAATGGTACTACCATGCTGATTTGATTATTATAGCCTTGTAGTATAGTTTGATATCAGGTAGTATGATACCTCCAACTTTGTTTTTTTTCTCAAGGTTGCTGTCAGTATTCAGGGTCTTTTGTGGTTCCATATAAATTTTAGGATTATTTGTTCTAGTCCTGTGAAAAATTCCATTGGTATTTTGATGGAGATTGCATTGAATCCACAGACTGCTTTGGGTAGTATGGACATTTTAACAATGTTAATTTTTCCTGTTCATCGGCATGGTAAATGCTTCCATTTATTTATAACTTCTTCAGTATCTTAAATTTTCCAAGTATAGATCTTTTGCCTCCTTAGTTCAATTTATTCCTTGGTATTTTGTTTTATATTTTACTTATTTATTTTTTGAGGACTATGAACATGTAAAATATTTTATTTCGCCTATTACATAAAAGAGTACTTTCCAAAACAGATTTTTTCATGAAGTTTAATTTTTCCTATTGCCTTTACATGATTTTTTCTATTTTAAACCATTTTTATTTTTTAATTACAGTGCCCATACATTATGTTAGTTTCAGGTGCACACCTCAGTGACTAGACATTACGTAACTTACTAAGTGATCACCCCAATGAACCTCACCCATCTGACACCATACAGAGCTACTGGAGTATTACTGCTGTATACCGTAAGCTGCATTTTACACCCCCATGACTGTTCTGTAACAACCAACTTGTACTTCTTAATTCCTTCACCTTTTTCACCCATTCCCCAATCCCCTTCCATCTGGCAACCATCAAAATGTTCTCTGTATCTATGAACTTGCTTCTGTTGTGCTTGTTCATGTATTTTGATGTTTTTTTAGATTCAATTGTTGATAAATATGTATATATTGCTATTTTATTGTTCATATTTTTAAAATCTTTTTCTTCTTCTTCTTAAAGAAGACCTTGTAACATTTCATAGAATACTGGTTTGGTGGTCAGGAATTCCTTTAGCTTTTCCTTGTCTGGGAAGCTTCAGTTCCTTCAATTCTAAATGATAGCTTTGCTGGGTGGACTAATCTTGGCTGTAGGTCCTTTCTTTTCATGACTTTGGCTATTTATTGCTAATCCCTTCTGTCCTGCAAAGTTTCTGTTGAGAAATCAGCTGACAGTCTTATGGGAGATCATTTGTAGGTAACTAACTACTTTTCTTTTGCTGCTTATAAGATTCTCTCTTTGACTTTAACTTTTGGCATTTTAATTATGATGTATCTTGGTGAATGCCTCTTTGCATACAACTTGTTTGGGACTCCTTGTGTTTCCTGGACTTGCATGTCTATTTCCTTCACCAAATTAGGGAAGTTTTCTGTCATTATTTTTTTAAATAGGTTTTCAATTTCTTTCTCTGTTTCTTCTCCTTCTGGCACTCCCACGATGTGAATGTTGGTACATTTGCAGAGGTCCCAAAGGCTCCTTACACTACCCTCATTTTTTTTTTTGAATCTTTTTTCTTTTTGCTATTTTGATTGGGTGTTATTTTGCTTCCGTATCTTTCAAATTGCTGATTTGGTCCTCTTGTTTGCCTAATTGGCTGTTGATTATTTCTAGTGTATTCTTCATTTTAGTTATTGTAGTCCTCATTTCTGACTATTTTTTAATAGTTTCTATGTATTTTTTAATGCTTACTATCTCTTTGTTGAAGTTTGCACTATGTTCATCTATTCTTTCCTTAAGTCCCTTGAGCATCCTTATAACCAGTGTTTTGAACTCCATACCTTGTAGATAGCTTGCCTACATTTCATTCAGTCTTTTTTGGGTGGTGAAAATTCTCCTGTTCTTTCAGTTGAGAGATGTTTATTTTTCTTCCCTTTTTAGCTGCCTCTCTGTGTTTGTTTCTATGCATTAGGTAGATCTTCTATGTCTTGCAGTTTTGGCAGGGTAGCCTTATATAGTGGGCATCTTGTGGGGCCCAACGGTACAGTCTCCCTGGTCACCTGAGCTGAGTGCTCCAGGAGTGTCCTCCTGTTGTAGCTGATCCTTGAAT